GAAATTCAAATCTGGATTTGTAAAGAGTTATGTCTTTTCTCCCTATCCTGTTACCACAAAATCTTAGAAATCCTTTCTTGAGGACCACATGTTGCTTGATGACCAGAGATATCAACCAAAGACACCCCTTGAAGCTACATTCACTATAAATATCCACCATGCAGTCACTGCACAAGTATCTGAACGCATATAATATGGGCAAGATGCAGCACTGAGACTGGGCAACACAAAACTTGCTCAGCTAGTCACTTCCATCAGGCAGCTTACATCCTTCTAGGATGCTGATTCTTCAGTTTATAGACTTAAAAATACTGGAATCAGTTGAATTTAAACAGTATGGGAAAAACCAATACAATATAAAGCCATATGGCTCAGACAGGATAAGAATAATTCAGCTCATTAAATGAGAAATAGTTTCCACTCGATTTAAGCCACGTGTAGGTAATTCTTCACTGCAACGACTTCTAGAGACACAAAGTCAGAGAGAAAATAGTTTTAATTACAGTCTTTAAAATAAACAAAAGAGTGATGAAGCAATCCAGTTTCCCAAATTCCAATCATTTGTATACCACCCTCAAGATTTTGGCCTTTATCTGTGTACCAGCTAATATTTTCTTTAAATCAATTTATATTTCTTGCTTTAAAATATTTTAAAGAAAACTTTATATTGCTACTTTCAATGAAAAACTGATAGATAATCCAGTCATAGAAAGTAACTATGGAAAAAATACAGTGAAATAAAGGTAATAAATTTCATCTAGACAGTGATACAGCAGGAAGCTCTGAGCCCGAAGTTTGATCCTCTTTTTGCTGTAAAGGAAAGCTAGCAACTGTTTGGCAGGTGTTAATGACCTAGTATTTCCAAACTAATATTTCTCCTGGAAATATACAGAAGGCTGGAAAGAGTAACTGAATGGAAGTAATTTTTGTATTATATGATTCAGTGTTAGTTACCACTGTGTTTTCGTCCCACCAAACAGCCTCTTGGAGATCACAGCATCGTGTGTTTCAGACACTTGAGGGCACACAGTGAGTCAGGGGAATGTGAGTGTGTAATGTGTGGAGAGAATTGTGGGGAGCAGTTCCAAGTCTGCATCTGCCATTTTCATTCGTTCACTCATCAACTACCACGTATTAAGCACACGCTACATGTCAGTCAGTGTGCTAAGGGTCGGGATTCAATGGTAAGACCATCACTTCAAGGAGAAGGTAAATTAGGTAAAAATGAAAAACATAATTACATAAGCAAACTATACTATATAATAAAGGACCTAACAGACGCTCACTGCTAGACTTCTAGGGAGAGAGGTCATTTTCAAGTCTCAAGAGGCCAGCCTTTTTTTTTTTATTTCCAGGAAATCCAGATGTCTTGTTGTCCATTATAGGCTGTCAATGATTTCTCGCTTCCCTTGGTGAGCAGCAGTTGAAAACCAGCTATTACACAAGGAATGGAAAGCAGAAGGTACTTGAAGAATAGGGCACAAGAGCAAAGTGTGCTGGGACATGGAAAGACTAAAGTGAGCCTCAGAAAGAACATTAGAGATTGGTCTAATCCTTTCTTTTCTAGGAAACAGGGGACTATGATTTCCTAGAATTAGAGCCTCAACTGAGATTTAAACTGGACCTCTTGAGATCCAGTCCAATACACTTTGCACTAGATGACATCTGTAAGAGAGGAATCTTGAGATATTAAGGATATTTACATTTGTTCCAAAAAGATAATCTGGAGCACTCCCAGTAAATAAGTATCAAAAAATAAATAAATCAATAAAAGATGGAGATCCTCGTGTAGTCGAGAGTACAATGATCACATTTCAAGAAAGGTTGAAGGGGGGTGGCATTTAAAGATGAATACAACACATATTACAGCATCTAAGATATACTACTATATGAGCCATGTCAAAATACTTCTATTGAGAAATACTCATGGTCAAATTAGCAAGAAAGTATGAATGGCTTACTGCAGTTATCAAAACAACATTAAAGCTGATCAGCGTAGTGTTTCCTCTCTAGAACTGTAACGTTTCCCTGCAGGAGGCATCTGTATTTTCTCTCCTGTGCTCTTTAGTACCACTGCATTAAGAAAACTTGGAAAGAGGAGGCAAAGGAAAGGCCTGGAATAATTTCCAGCTCTCCCCAGCCTTTGTGGGGAGGTAATTTATTTTATTGCCTCTGTCTTTCTAGTAACTTCTCATGTACATTTTTAAAAGTAGGCGACTTTGAAACTAAAGGATAAGGGAATTTACACCATTTTCCAATTTATAAGGTTGATAACCCTGAGCACGCTGATTAAGGAGGAAAGCCAAGAATACTGTTGTTTGGAAATTCATCCATAGCATTTTAGCAGGATTACCTGGGGCGTTGAACTTGGGAATGGAGGCCAATAGTTTCTGTCAAATAAGCATATTGCCGAATTCCTCTATATAGCATTCTTTGGTAGCTCTGGACTTGGATTATTATTTCAATTGTGTTGTCTTTGCATCTCTTTCTGTTCTTAGCTAGTAAATACTGTTTCACATTCATTTAAAACTTGTTTTTTATTCAGAATTAACCTTTCCATAAAGAATGACACATTCTATTAAAGCATGTTGCTCCAATTCAGTTGTATTAAAAGATTTTCCCAGAGAATCCTAAAGGTATTACTTTGAAAATGAAAACTATGTATCATCTTGCTATCTAAGTTCTTGAAATTTAACCATTTAAGTGGCTGAGCCAGCTTGCGATGACATGCTAAGCCAAACACTTTGATCGTCCCATGGGAATGAAAGGCAATAAAATATAATATACCTGTGAAGCTTGAGGGTGACAGTTCCATAAACAGTAGCAAAACCAAGAAGACGGACCCATCTTAGGAGAACACAGCGAAACGTGCTTGGCTCAAAGTACAAAATAACAACCTGTGGGGTGAGAAGAGAGAGAAAGAAACCTTCAGGATCAGCAGATGACCCACAGACTAAAATCAGGGCTTCATAATCTGATGTTTCGTATATTTGAATTTTGACATAAGCACATACTCATTTGAATAAAACTCTCAAATATTATTTCTCTCACTCGTTGTCCAAATCAAAGGACTACAGAGTCTCCTTATTGCTTTCAAATCAGAGCTAAAGTCTTTAATTCTAACTTTCAAGAGTTTCTATCAATTGCCTCTACATTTTTGGTGTGTCCAAGCTTAACTCTCTTCACTTCCCCAGATGGGCTACAGGCGAGTTCCCACTGCCTTTCTCAACTGGAGCCCTGCTTATTTCCACCTCCACACTTCCAGCAATACCTTTTCCTGTCTGAAATATTCCTGAGAGGATTATCCGGTACTGTACCCCATCCCAATCAATCTACCACTCTGTGTTTTTTAAGTTTATTACTTCACTCAGTATTTGGCTCAATTACTTCACTAACTCCTTGCTTCTCACTCCAGAGTCTTCATTCAACAAATATTAATTAAGCATTGACCATGAGCCATGCACTCTGCTAGATACTGTGGATACAAAGGCCAATGAGAAAGGGAAGAGAGCCATATCGACAAGAAATTGCATCAAGGCAGTATGGATGCTGTGACAAATATCTGTGCAGGTTTGATGGGACACAAAGGAACAAGGGGCCATTTCCAGGCGGATGGTCAGAAGCCATGTGAAAGCACTGTATGCACCACCCTGCACCTGCCACTGTGGGTTTGGAGGAAGCCCTGAGAGAATGGGAAGTGGTTTGGCCCTGCTAAGGGATTCATGCCGTTCAGAAGTACAGGCCTGGGCTCTTCTGCTGCAGCAGCTGGCCTGAACCGATTCTGCTGAACGTAAGGTCATTATAACAGAAAAATATGCCTGCTCCCCAAATCCTGAATATTTTTTTTTGTCCCAAAGATGTGAATATTGGAAAAGCATAAAATACAGCTAGGGCACAGTGTGGGGGGGGTTGGCACTGAGATTTTTTGCAGATATCTTACCAATGGAGCCACACTCTCCAGCAGTACCAACAATTCTCAAATAATTCCACTGTACAGATATGACACCAAGGACTGACAAGACCATTAGGGTTAAATTCTCAAGGAGTGTGAAAGAGACTGGGCTAAAGTGTCAGGAAGAAATGAAATGAAGGTAAAAATAGGCATGGACAGGAGATAATGTTCCTTTGTGTATACATAGTACTTGTCATTAATTTTCTAATTCACTAAATCTATGCTGAAGATATAGATAATGATTTGATTTCAGAATTTACTCTACCAGAAAATTGTTTGAATTCATCCAAAAATTGATATAAAAAAACCTTTCTTTTATTTTCACAAAATAAGTTCAAATTCTGTAAATTTGTATTCTAAGTTTTAGCACATATACTTTAGACATAGTTGTTATGCAAAAGGGTCCAATGGTAATTATGAGTTCTGCAAAGTAAGCTGTACTGTTTACTAAGGAGTTGAAGCTTAAGGAAGAAGGGAAAACATATGGGGAAAAACAAGCAGAGAAAACTTGATAAAAGATTAAGGGATTAGGGAAGCATATGTGTTCCTTCTCACGGCAGAGAGAAATGATAGCTTAGAAACTAGAGAGATAGGCAGCTAAATTAAAGTCTAGAATATATAAAATCTCAAATATTTCCACTAGAGATGACTTCTGAGATTATTCTAGTTACGGCGGATTCCTGGGGGCTGCAAAGTCCTGTGACTTATTGCAAAGTTTTCCATTTCACAACAAGCAATGACCAAGAGAATGAATAAGCAAAGGTGAACAACTATGCCAAAGAAGTCTGCATAATTTTTTGTTTTTTTGAAAGAAAGAATTGCTCTTGAACTGTTAGGGAACTACTGATAGAGCTTCAAACTTCTATTTCACAGATGAAAAATCTGACGACTTGATACTGTAAGTGAAAGATTGAGTTGGTTAGAAATAAATGAAGGAGTAATAATTTTTTTCAGCATCCCTGGATGAGGTATAGAAAATGAAATTCCAGTACAGTAAATAAAATGTATTATTAGAAACAGTTCGGCAGATAGTGAAGTTGAACTCTCAAGTTTGCAGTATCGTGATGAAGAACACAAGCTCTGAATCCAGTCTCCCTGGGTTTAGTCCTGGCTCTGTTCTTTATTAGTTCTGTGACTTTCACAGTGCCTTGCTATGCCTCAGTCTTCCCACGTGTAAAATGAACACAACAATAATAATTGCAGATGGGACTATTTTGAAGTTTACAGTGAGCATTCAGTGAGTATACAGTGACTGTTCTGGCTAATATTATTATGAGAGTTGATTTATGAATGCTTTGTTCTAAAAGCTACCACTCCATGCATTGCTGTATACCTGAAACCAACATTGTAAATCAACTACACTTCAATTAAAAATAAATTTGAAAAATAAATAAAAAGGTAAAATATAAATTTTAAAAAATTTAAATAAAAGTTACTTTTCCAATGCAGTATAATTACATTTCATCAACTCAATGAATTCTTTACTGATGGATGGTTCCAGCCACTCCTGAATTCCTATAATCACTTTTTGACTGTATGCTTCTTTACCTTATGGTATAGTTATCTGTGGGTGTCTCTCTGAATCAAATGTAAAATCAGAGAAGGCAGGCTTCTCCATATAACCTGTGCGCTTTACATTTAAATGTGAAGTATTTGCTTAATGATCTCTTAGCTAATTCAATAACTAAAATGTTACCTTCAAAATAAACTATTCAATAACTAAAATGTTACCTTCAAAATAAACTATTTGAAAAGTCTAACTAGGGTTCACTAGTCTTTGTGATTCTAATTTACACATTCACTATTATTTACTCTGTGTGAGGCAGTAAGGGATTTAGAAGCCATAAAAATAAATCAGATACAGATTAGGTCCTCAAGTTTAGAACAGTGGATGTTACATGTAAATGATGAAAAAACTGATATGGTCATACCACATTTTTACACAGCACCATCTCTAGATGCTAACTTATGCGTTACTTACTTATTTAATCTTTACAATATCTTTTAAAATAGGGACTTTTATTTTACAGAATAGAAATGAGGCACAGAGAATTTAAGTGATCTGCTCAGGGACAGACAGCTAGGAAGTGTCTAAGCTAGAATCCGAATCCAGCAGTCTGGTTCCAGCATTTGTACTCTGGCTTGTCTCTCCAAAGAGTTCTACCACGAGAGGGAGGGGACAAATGCCAGGATACCACAGACTGCATCAGACTGAGGGTTCAGAGAAAAGGGCAATTAATCTCAGTGGAAACAAATGAAGCTATCCTGGGAGGGCGGGCATCTGCGAGGACATGAAGGAGGAATGGGTTTAAGCAGGTAAGCAGGGGAAAGGGGAGGGAGCCCAAGACAGAGGCACGGCTGTGGGAGGACTTCAGTGTGTGGCGTATGTGGCTACAGCAGGAAGACATCAGGGCAGGGCTGAATATCAAGCTTTAAAGCAGAGATGGGGCCAGTTCACTGTCAGCTTTGCATAACAGGGTGAGGAGCTGAGATTTTATTCTGTAAGCAGACATGCCATTAAACTTCTTCTTCTTTTTTTTTTTTGCCATTAAACTTCTTAGAGTTGAGATCGGAAGTGTGTTCCTGAAAGCTACTCTGGTTGCAGCATGCCAGAGGACTGGTTCCCATGGAGGGGGAAGATACTGCAAGTGAGAGGACCATTTGGAAAAAAGAAGAGCAACCTCAATCCATCATCTTTCCCATCAACCTTTCCCCTCTTCTTATATCTTACTCCAGCATCCCTCGTTCCTCCAGTTCCCAAACGGCAGCCAGGAGGATGCTTCTGATGCCTCAGTCTCCTGCCTAGCGCCTCTCAGTGGCTCCCAGTGCTCTCATGAAAATGTCTAAATAATTCAAGGTGGTTGACAGCAGCTTACCTTTATTATATCATTACTTTCCATCCACTCTAGCCCTCCAATCCTGGTGTATGCTGTCCCCTCTGCCTGGATGTTCCTGATACAACCCCACAGTCTCACGTGGTCCTGGCTTACTCCTGTTTCCCCGCAGGCCTCAGCCTGAATATCTCTTCCTCCGGGAAGAGGAAGCCTTCCCCATGGCTTAGGACACTGTCCCTGCTTTACTGCAGCACAGGACCCATGACACCATGCTGGCATGTGGGCTCTGTGACAGTCATGTTTATCATATTCACTCCTTTAACTCTGGCACTAGTAGAGTCCTGGCACATGGAAAATGCTCCTAAATATTTGTTGAATGAAAGAAAAAAATAAAGCTGTAGGAAAAAAGGTAAAGACAGATGTACCTAATGTAGTGAGAATGGGAGTTCAGTCACTCATGGGAACGGATGAAAAGAAGACATTGAATCAAGAAAATGGGGCAACTGTTTTTTTTAAGGCAAAAGAGAATAAGATACCAGAGATAATATAGAGATTTAAAACCTGGGTGATTGGGAGGATGATTGTCTTTGAAAAGAAACAGATAAGAGAAAAGATGCATTAAGTCTGGGGGAATTATGTTACCTCTGCTTAAAAACCTCCCCAGCCCCACCTCGTCCTTCACGTCTCACGTCAGGGTTGGCATCCCCAAGTGCTCCCCAGCTCCCCCAGGCTAAGTCAGGCTTCCATCTCGATTGCACATTATTTACATGTACTGAATTCTGAGCTTTCCTTCATCTCACTCATCAACTCTATTTTGATATAATTATTTCTGTAATTCATCTATTGAATGTGTCTTACCAGCAGGTAAGATGTGAGGGCAGGGACTGTAACTACCTTATCCACGCCTGCATGCCCATTCCCTAGTATTGCACTTTGCCATAGGAGGCAACCAATAAGTGGATAAGGAAGGAATGAGATTTAAAAGAAGGAAGGGATGATCACTATGCTGTACACCATTGTAAATCAATTATACTTCCACTAAAAAGAAAAGAAAAAAAGAAGGGAGGGAGAGAAGGAGAGAGGAAGTGTGGAAGGAGAGACAATAATAAGC